TCATTTAACACCTGTATAAAACATCAATTCCATGCCCATTTCAAATAGACAAATAATATATAAACACATAGCACGTATTTCATAGCAAATACTTCGTATTTATGTGTTAGAAGAAAGTAACTACACACTCACACCAAACGTATACTTAATACATTCAAACAATACTTGTATTAAAATCGTGTTTATGAAAGGGACTATACACTCACCTGATCAGAAGATGATCGGGCAGCACTACGGCTCTAAGAGTAGTATTTCTTCGGTGAAACTAGAAGATCTTCACACACCGGGCTTCTCGCAGGCAGAGCTTCGACTCGGAAACTCTTTTCTTCTCGGGATCTTCGGGATTCGGGACTTGCTTCGGGTCTCGGGATGATACTGGGGCTTCAGGGGGTTAAAATAGGGCTTAGAGAGGGTATCGGGACTGAGAGAGTAAGGGAGGAGCAACCAAAATCGACTGACCCTTGATTTCTATTTATAGGGTCATTTTTCAGCTCTCACGTCGTGAATTTTAAGTTCTCACGTCGTGAATTCAATAGTCATCAGGTGCGTCATCGCCACTTGCGTCTGTCAGGCTCCAGAAGTCATAAATACTGAGTTCACGTCGTGAACACTGTATTCACGTCGTGAACTCTGACAGTTTTGGGGCTTCGCGCCCCGAACTTCAAAAATTCATAACTTTCGCATACGAACTCCGTTTTCGACGTTCTTTATATCCACGCGTAGGTGCGATTATGCTCTACAACTCTCGTTTAGACTCCGTTGGCTAATTTTGAATTTATTTTTAATATATTTTAATATATTGTTTTTAGTAGGCTAGGACAGGAAAACTCCGTTAGAAAATCATAACTCCTTCGTCTGACGTCCGTTTTCGTCTGTCTTTCCGCCGTTGCACTACTATAGATGAGATATTCAATTCTCATTTAGATTATTTAGGCTAAATATCGCTCGATCTCATATTCGAACTTCGGGCTGTACACTGCTAAGCCGAAACTTCGAAAAATCATAACTTCCTCATACGCAGTCAGATTTAGACGATCTTTTTATGCACGCTCGCGGTTTAACGTATTCTACGACTTTCATTTAGACCGCTAAGGCCAAATATCGCTCTAACGTAAATTCACTATTTACGTCGCGCTGTGTCGTGCCGGTTCTGTCGCGAAACTTCGACAGGTCATAACTTCTTCGTTATAACTCGGATTTCGGCGTTCTTTATATGTACGGAATCCTTGTAACATATACTATAACTTAGTTAAGATTAATCCTTCTAGATAATCTTCCATCAAAAAGTCATTTTTGACGCTTATCGTCTCTAAATTGACTAGCCCTAATCTACGGGCGTTACAGTGTGTGTTTGTGGGGGTTGGTGTGTGTGTGTTTGTAGGGGTGGGTGTGTGTTTGTGGGGTCGGGGTGGGTGTGGGTGTGTGTTTGTGGGGGTTGGGGGGGTGTGTGTGTGTTTGTGGGTGTGTGTGTTTGTGGGGTGTGGATGGGGGTGTGTGTGTTTGTGGGGGTTGGTGTGTGTGTGTATGTTTGTTTGTGAGGGTTGGTGTGTGTATATGTGTGTGTGTGTTTGTGGGGGTGGGCTTGGGAGTGAGTGTAGGTAGGTAGGGTGTGGTGGGTTGGGGTGTTAAGGTGAGGGTAGGTAGAGGTGGATGGGGTGGGAGTTGGTGTTTTCTAGAAAAATTTTGGAATTAGAAAAATGTGGAAAACAATGATTATTGGTTTTCCAAAAATTTCCAACTTCTTTGTAATTTTAGAAAATGGAAAATTTTCATTTTCCGTGAAAATTTTAGAAAATAGACGAACTAAACGCGTTTTCAAAATTCTCATTTTCCTTGGAAAAATTTTCCGGAAAACGACCCATTTTCCCGCAACTAAACGCACCCCTAGCATCTTATAATGATGAAGTTGCAAATGTTATATTAGAGAAAACTCCTTATAATTCAAAATATACTTCTGGAGAAATTCAAAAAGAAATTCTTAGTATTATTGCAAATAAAGTTAGAAAGCATATTTGTATTGAAGTGGGTGATTCATATTTTTGTGTCATGGTTGATGAGTCTAAAAAAGAGCAAATGGCGATAGTTTTGAGATTTGTTGATGTAGAAGGGATCATACGGGAAAGGTTCTTGGATTTGGTTCATGTTAGGGATACCTTATCATTAACCTTCAAAACAAATATGTGGAGACAACTTTTGCACTATCAGTTTGATGTTAGTAAAATCCGTGGCCAAGGTTATGATGGTGCTAGTAATATGAGAGGGGAATGGAACGGATTAGAGGCACTTGTTCTTAAGGATTGTCCTTATGGATATTATGTTCATTGCTTTGCTCACAGATTACAACTAGCCTTGGTAGCTACTTCAAGGGAAATTATTCTTGTACACCAATTTTTCACAAACTTAATTTTTTTTTAATTAATGTAGTTTGTGCTTCCGGTAAGCGTCATGATGAGTTACAAAAGGCAAAGGCAACTGAGATTGAACAATTATTGGAACTAGGTGAAATCGAATCAGGCAAAGGATTGAATCAAGTTGGGACATTAAGAAGAGCTGGTGATACACGTTGGGGTTCTCATTTTCGTTCTGTTTGCAGTTTGCTTAACATGTTTGATTGTACTCGTGTTGTTCTCTAGGGAATAATTGATGAGGTATCTGCTACTTATTCTCAACGCGGAGATGCTAATGCAGTTTAATGTTTCCTTAAATCATTTGAGTTTGTGTTTATTCTTCACTTGATAAAGGAAGTAATGGGAAAAACTGATGTACTTTCTCAAGCTCTACAAAAGAAATCCCAAGATATTCTTAATACCATGGAGTTAGTTTCAGCAACAAATGAGGGTCTAAATGAATTCAAAAACAAGGGATGGGATTCTTTACTTGCACAGGTAAAGTTTTTTTGTGAAAAACATCAAATAGATATGCCAGATATGAATGCTCCATATACTTCTACTCGATACCGGCCTCGAAAAACAGATAATCATGTTACTTTTGAACATTTTTATCGAGTGGATTTGTTTACAGCCACATTGGACAAACAACTACATGAGTTGAATAGTAGATTCAATGATCAGGCGATGGATCTATTAAGTCTTAGTTCTACTTTAGTTTCAAAAGAACACCCTAAAGTGATTAAAGTTGATCAAATTTGTCGTCTTGTTGAGAAGTATTATCCCGAAGATTTTACGGAGCAAGAGAGAATTCAATTACGCTATCAATTGGAGATTTTTAATATTGATATGACAAAGAATCCCAAGCTTAGTGGTGTATCAACTATTGCTGACTTATGCAAGGGTCTTGTGGAAACTCAGAAACGTGAGACGTATTATTTGCTTGATAGAGTGGTGCGGTTAATCTTGACACTTCCAGTTTCTACCGCAACAACAGAGAGGGGATTTTCAGCAATGAAAATATTCAAGAACCGTCTTCTCAATACGATGTCGGATGACTTTCTCGCAAACAACTTGGTGGTTTACATAGAAAGAGAAATTGCTGAAAACATTGATTCGAAGTCGGTAATTGATGAATTTAAAGACCTTAAAGGTCGTCGGGCTGAGTTGTAATTCTTTTTCTAATTATTTTTTGTGTTTATTTGCAAAAACAAATTTGGTTTTTTTGTATGTAAGAAAGTTAATTTTAGTTTATAATACTTTCGCCCCCCCCCCCCCCCCAAAAAAAAAAAAAAAAAAAAAAAAAAATTTGTTCAAGCTCCGCCCCTGCTCTCGGAACAAGCTTGATTAAAGAGCTCGGTGTTGTTAAATGAGAGATAGGATGTTGTTAGTTAAAGAAGAATGTTCGACGACGTATCAAGTTCCGATTTTGACTCCAATGAATTATCCAGTGTGGGCAATCAAAGTCAAGTCGATTATGGGTGCACACAACATATGCGAGAAGGTTGAACCGAGGGCGTTCGATGGAAGAATCTCTCAAAATATGATTGATCGGCAAAGGTATGGTTGTCAAGACAAGAAGGGAATGAACAAACAACACGGTGTGAACATTATGACGTTGGAGTTTAAATCGGGTGGCTTTGGGTGTAGCCAAGGAAGAGGTTGTCGATCCGGAAAAAGTTGAGATGGTAATGAACGTGTCCAACGGGATGCCATGTTACATGTTACGTGTGTTGTGAACAATCAAAATGGTACATATGACTTTGGACGTTGCCGAGGTGGAGGTCGGGTGTCCGGGAAAAGTCGGGATGGTTCGGGAAGACGGTGATTCAACACTACTATTAACGAGTGGTATGACCAATCTGATTAAGGGGGTGATTGTTGGGTTAATCGGGCATTAAGTCAAGGGGCATTTTAGGAAAGTTAGATATTTAAGTTTTATTTTATTGTTTTAGAGTTTAATTTGGAGAGTAGTTGATTTCTTATTCACCAGGGAGTTTTTTTGTTTCGTATAAATAGATAGATGTAATCGTATTTTATGTTTCTTAAATAAGAGTTTATAAGGTTTAAACAAAACAGCTTCTCTTCCTGTGTTATTCTCTTTATTTTCTTCCTTGCATAAGAGGGGGTTCATCAAAATTGAATCTTACGGTTCTTATATAAAAGATTGCTTCCACCTCTAGAACACATGAACTTTCTGTATTTTCTAGTATCATTTTTTTGTGAATTTTGAAATGTTTTTAATTGAATTTGGCATTTATAAATTCTCAAGCTACAGTTATTTTCATTTCAATGCTTAATATTTATTATAAGGAGTATTCCATGCTTTTGAGTTTTGAGGAACAGACGTTCCATCCAATAGACGGTGGAGGTGGGACCACCCACCAGATCTCACCGAATTACAGATGGTCATCTCCCACCTACGTGTCACCGACTTATTCTTTCATTCTTCCAGACCAAAAAAATCATAATCCACACTAACTTTTCAATAACAACTTGTATTCTCTTTATTTAATCCCTACATTCTTCTGGATTAAGCACTTTTTATCCTGGAAAATCTCTGTAATTTCTTACATACAAAAAAAAATACTCCACCAATTTTGGTATCTGTCACCATTTTGTTCGCCAACTTTCCCTTCCCACCACCATACCCGTTTCCAAGATTCTTCGTTCTTCGAAGAACTAAAAACCAAAAGAATTTTTGAGGCTTAAGTAATCGTTAATCTCTCCGATCACAACCTTATCGCCGGAGAAGACTGAGACACCAACAATGGGGCGTAGCCTCTTCGCCTGCTTCTCCAAACGCTCCTCCAAAACCTCCTCTTCTGATATCAACAAGTCAACCGCAACACATGACGCCGCCGCGGACGAATTGACGGCCGATGAGTTAAAAAGAGGAGGACCGGTGGTGGTGGAGCTGTTCTCATCCCAAGGATGCGCCACATCGCCGGAGGCGGAGCTTCTGTTCTCGAGGATAGGTAGGGGAGATTTCAATCTTGAAGTTCCGGTGATATTAATGGCGTACCATGTTGATTACTGGGATTATAACGGATGGAAGGATCCGTTTGGGTCGAGCCAGTGGACAGTGAGACAAAAGGAGTATGTAGAGTCGTTGAATCTCGACACCATGTTTACGCCGCAGGTGGTGGTTCAGGGGAGGAGTCAGTGCATCGGAAACGACGAGGAGGGTCTAATCTCCGCGATCACCTCCGCAACCAGATACCCCCCGCCAGCGTTCCAGGTAATCTCTTGAATCAACACGTCCAAATTAGGATAATTCAAAAATCTAATCGTTGATTTACTCTTTAGGCGACATTCGAGAGGCGTACACCGGAATCCTTGCAGGTCACCCTGAAAGGCGCGTTACGCGCCAAATTAGACGGCGGAGCAGACATCATGGTGGCACTGTACGAAAGCGGGCTCGTTACCGACTGCCGGAACGGCGACAACAAAGACCGAATTCTAGCCAATGATTTCGTCGTTAGAAAGCTCGGAAAGCTCTGCTCCGGCGACAAGCTACCTCCGAAGAAGCCGATTACAGGAACACTCGATTTTGGGGTTTGGGAAGGTTTCAACAGCGCCAAATGCGGAATCGTAGTGTTTGTTCAGCAACATGGATCTCATCATATTTTTGGTTCTCAACGTATTCAACTACCAGCCAATCTCTGATTCAAATTTTCTTTCTGCCATTGTTGTGCTTGTTTTAATTGATTGAATTGTAGAATAGTTTGATCATATTTGTGAAATTTTGAGTGCTTAAATCTTATGAATTACCAACATATAGAACAAACCACCATCTGGGTTTCTGTTTTCGTAACATATTTCTATATATAAACTCGAAATTAATAGGCACAAAGGCTAATAACAAAATGGAAGAGTAGATTCTTGATTCTTGTTATTATTGGTAGGGACCCCAGAAGCTCAAATAGGTAATAGTCCTCAATGGTTCTTCGGCATCTTTACTACTCTTTGTTGCTCTGCCGGAGATGTTGCCGGATGGGTGTTGTGACACCAGAGATAGGCTGAGTTGGGACACCGGTGGAGCAAGTAGTTGCCAAAAGGTGTGGGATTTGGATCTGAATGAGTGATGGCGTATTCCTATTATAGCTCCCAATGTAACGATGATGCAAGCTTTGTCTACAAGCTTCATTTCTGCGAATTCTTGAAACTATGAGGTAGAGAGAGAGAGCTTTTTTGAAGATGGAAATCTGATTGGAGGTTTATATAGAGTTAGAAAAGGTTGTGTCGTATGATAAAGCAATTGAGGAAATGTAGGGTTTATTGTCTCATTGGTGAGGGAGGTTCCATGCTGGTATGTCGTAATCGAGTATGGTCTTATGGACGTTGTTGAGTGTATCCGTACAACCACCGTGATGTATAGTCTTTTTCGTATTTTGTTCTCATTTAGAACAAATTAAATAGGAATCCTCCTTATAAATAACCAGAATATGTTTTCTCGAATTGTTTACATTTATGTGACGTCTCCTTGTGGGAAAACTCTAGTTCAAATAGATAGTTAATTAGTATTTAAGATGATGTAAATGGTTTATTTATACAACATGATGTTCAAGCATAGAATTACACAAAACTTATTGAAAAGAATTTGGTCACTAGTTAAAACTTAAAACCCACGAGGACGCTTCTTACTAATGAAATTTACAACACATTACAAAAATCTTTATGACAAATCTACACCCTCAACCTGTTGTCGAGCAAGGTATTTCTCCCTTCTTTCTTTCTACATAGGAGATCAAATAACAATAGTTAGAAATCAATATGTGCTAATGAGAACTCAAAAAATATGAGAACCTAAAAAATAACTCTTGGATCAAATTTGATTTGCAAAATGGTGGCCATTAGATGAATTTGATCCAAGGGCTGTGATTGTAATTTCAACTTACCCACTCGTCTATAACCATCCCTTGGCCAACAACTTTTGGAGATGTGTCCACTTGAGGCTTTTTTCGTATCTCTAATTCAGCTTCAGCTTCAGCCAACTGATGTTTTAGTTTTTCCAATGCCTAAATACATCAAATCTTCATGTCAGTTTTATATTATGATGTCATTAATTCATTAATTATATATAACAGAACATAACAAACTTACAGGGGTAGGACGTTCTGCATTCAAGAAGATAACACGTAAAATTCGCTCAACAACTACTTCATCCTTTTGTTCATCAAACTGTAAGATGAAGAACAGATTATTGATTGTTGAATCTTTGTTTTGTTTGAACAGATTTTGATTATTTAAAGGGAAAAAAGAAAAGTTACCAATTCGGGCACATAATCTGTTCCTTCTTTCACTTTGAGGCTCATGATCTTGAACTTAACTTTACTCCTTTGGTTTAGTTGTTTTTCGTTTTTCTCAGGTTGCTCAACAAACTTGAAAACTGTCATTAATTTATGTCAGTGAAGAACACATGATGACATAAATGAAGAAAGAAGTAGGAAGAAGGAAGATAGATCCTTACCTGTAGCAATAATGGTTTCTCCAGGTGCTAGAATACCACCAGGAGGTCGCATGTAACAGCTCTTTGGTGCAGTAGTTTGAAACTGATGACATTAATCCATCAGATTAAGATCTTGTTGAACAATTACATCAGATTAGGTCTAAATCAAAGCATAAATTAGGTGAGATACCTTAAAAGCGACATGAGAGCTGCTATGGTTCTTGATTCGAACAGCACTTCTCACCTGTTTACCAGGTTCATCTTCAACAACAAAAATCAAAGTAAAACAGTCAGACATCATCTCATCAAATCGTTGTAAATCAATACATGATTTTGCCTAGTGATTTTCAGGAACATCGTTTAGGAGGAAATATCATCACCGATATGGAAACGAACATAATCAATGTGAACGATTTAGTCAGTAAAAACAGAGAACAGAGACTTTATTAATTACGAACGATAAGATGAGAAACGATTCAGCTGACATGAAAACTTAAAACGATTACTCACAAGGAAAATAAAGGTTGTTAGCCGGATCAAGGCGGAGTCTACGCCTAGCTGGTAGGAGCGATTTCGCCACCGAGGATACCTTATTGGAAGTCCGACGGTTTGATTCGACGCCATTTTCATGGCTTTTCTGACTTTGAAATTGAAGATTCCGCGTCGATGAAAACGACGAAGAAGGTGTTCCAGATTGCCAAAACGGACATAGTCGCCAGGGCTTTCCATCTGAATGGGAACGGCGGTGATCAGCGATAGACATGACTAACTTATTGCAACAGTTCTCCTTATTTGTAACAGCTCACACCACACAAGTAAGGAATAAGAACTCCGGTTGACGGAATTAAAATATTCCGGCAAAGTAACGGCTTACGCTCTTTGATCCATATGAAAAGTGGAAATGACGATATCGGACTTGAAATGTGTGGAATTGAATTTAACTTCTGCTTGATGTCCGTCCTCCTCACACTTTGGTGCTCGTCTTGCAAGTATCCGGAACTTGAGCTCTGTCTCTAATGGCTGGTCTGTTTGTACCTCTGTACTGAAATGGCCTTTCCTGACAAATGAAATTATGCCTGTTCATTCACATATTACTTTCTAAGTTTTAAACCTTGCAAGTTTCTCCCTTGGGTTTCTCCATCATTACAAACTACCCCTAACTTAATTTTATTTAAAAATAATAATGATTTGAGATATTATTAATCTTATAATCTAAATTTTTTTTATCCAAGTATCTAACTAGATGCTGAAAATAGGCTTGAACAAGTTAAGTAATAAGTGAGAATAGATAATATTATAATATATGTTATTACATGTTGAGATTAGACAAGTAACAGATTAGGTTGATCACTTATGTATATTTTTTGTATGATTCTAAATTGAATGATTTAGGAGGTCTCGAGGTTTAGAATATAACTTAGGTGAATGTTGGATCCTAGATCTTCTTCCTTTCTATCCCAAGTCTTGAAAGTAAGGAGGTCAACCAGAACTCTGGATCTGGATCACAACAAGACTAGTTAGTGTGATTCCGAGTGGAACCTGAAACCTGTCCGATGACTAAGTTAGTATGTAGTCGGGGTGGGTGTATATTGATAGTGAATATAATTGAGATGCAAAAGATAGATACTTCTGACGATATTTCCATTACCTCATATAGGAGATGACCTTGTCGTCGGACTTGGATATCCGAGAGTTAAAGGGTGATGAGACACAAAGTAATTTGGACTGATTTGATTGACTGATAGCTACGTGGTCAACACATCGTCTGTTGTGATGCTCCCTGACTAATTAAGTTCGACCCCTACCTTATGATCATTATACATCAGTGATTTGTGGGTGGTGGCGAGATCGACTTGCAGATCGGTTATCTTACTGATGTGCCTTCCGGCTGACTTATGTCCGTCCGGCCCTTTTTCTTTAATCTAAGAAATACGTTATTAGTGGATCTTAACTCGTTCCTCATGTTTCTTTATATCTATTTTCTTATATTTTACCTATATGACTTTTTTATCAATAGATTTGACAGGGTTAATGTAGTGATCATCTCATATTTATATCTTTTTGTTTTTTTGTTAATAAGAAACAACAATTTGATATGTATAAATTCAATCAGTTTTCTTAATCAGTTTTCTTTTTGTTGAGAAGTAGTTCAAATACTTTACATAAAGATCATATATATTAAAAAAGATACTTACCTTTTAAACAGAACGGTTACTGATTTTTGGCTATAGTTAGTCGGGTTACCCTTGTCCTTCGAGGCTTGGACATCATTGTTATAATTAAGTTAAGAGATGGCTTAGGAGATAAAAATATTAATGTGTAGGGCGTATATGTATATAGAAAACTATAACAGGAGGTGAACTGAAATTTATGGAAAGTATTGTGTAGGAATTTAATTCAATATAGCAAGTAGGTGTGTATCCTAGCTGTTTGAAGTGGAGACTACATGATTAAACTCGGCTTCATAATTAACCAATTAGCCCATATCCTTTTAATGACTACGCAACCATCTAATGCCACGTAGTCAACAATAATACCGAATCAGCAAAAAGGCTGAAACCACCCCCACGTAAGCGTCAGCGCAGGTAGTTTTTCTCTTTACCTTTTTATATAATTAATGTTGTAAAATATAAAGATTTTAAAGTTATACTTTTTTGAAATAAAATTAAGTGAAAATATGTTTGTTGTACTTAATTCGCTATTTAAAAGTAGTCTAATAACACTTTAAAAATGGCGAAGTTGGACGGGTTATATAATATTACGAAAGTAACATTTTTTTAGGATAGATCAAATGAGCTTGGATGGATCTTTTAACATATTTGTGTATTTTTTTCTATTTGAATTTTATAAATAACGAATATACTTAAAATAAGTTTATAAGTAATTATATTTTTAAATAATTGTCCAATTCTTTTTTAAATAATCACCTTAACAATCGTAAACAGTTGAATATATTTTCATTGACTTCAAACCATTTGAGATACATATTTACCAACAGATGGAATGTTACTGAATAAATAAGTTTAAAATTGCCGATGAAAGTGCCAACTCAAATATCTTCCTAGACACATGTCATGAGACCGGTTAGTTGGTACACGTAATAAATACATGTAGATAGATAATACTTTGGATCTATATTAGTTTTTATTTTGTTTTAGCATATTTATTGTTTTGAATCGTTTTTTTTTTTTCTAAATTTTATCCAAATTTATAAAAACGGACAATGGTTTTTTGGATGTGTGTATCCAAACACAAACCGACAGGATAAGTATGCCTAAGTCAACTAGTATAGTACTACAGTCAATATGAAAAGATAAATCATAATATCTTTTTTTTCATATTTGAACCTGAAACTTCACTTATAGAATCTCAACTTCTTATTGTTAATACAGTCATACGAAGAGCATGTCTTGAATTTCAAGCTCAGTAATTTTTTGTTTTGGAATAACTTTTAGCCTTTAATTAAAAAATAGTGTAGGGAATTTAGATGTTTAAATATGAAAAAGGCATAGTGATGTGATAATTGATTGTTTGATTAGGGCGGTGAGAGTGAGTTGTAGTTGATACTTCCTCTACCCCACCAAGGATATATCACATTAATGCCTAATAATTCACTCACCATTTAATTCCTTTCAGAAAGCTGTTCAACCAACCCAAAATGGTGTCACAAAAATAATTATAAATTAAGAAACATGAACTTTTACCTCATTTTAGTTTATAAGCTTAGTTTTATATTCCCTAAGACAATAACACATGAACTTGTGGAGCCTTGTGTACGTATAACTATATATCTTGTTTACATCTCACATTACGTCTCACTTCTTGCTTACAATTTGATTATTTTCGGAAAACATATTGGATATAATCTCCGCATTTCAGAATTAAAATTATAATGGATTTGATATTATTGGATATGGACATAAGGTGCGACTGTGACACATATTTAGCAAGTTATATGAAATATGAGATTAGCTATCTTTGTCACACCTGAGAAAGCCCTAGTGTTTTATTTTTTAATTAATATCTAAGATCTTAAAAATAATTATACAATTAAAATTTCAACAAATAAAATAATTTACAACTAATACACCTTTAATTTACTTTTTATGACCACCATGGAGCATCACCTGTTCTAAAATCTGTTTCTATCCACTGAACAAACACCACTTTGTCATCATCTATTTCTACACGAGCCAGTTCCAAAGACTGTTGACACACGATGATAAATTAGCGACATGTACCTCATGCATCAAAACTTGTACATTTGTTTAGGGAGAAATTAAATACTTACCATAGGAGCAGGACCTTTAATAAGTTTTCCATAATTATCATATTGTGAACCATGGCATGGGCACATAAATTTCTTTTCAACTGTGTTCCATGGTACTATGCAACCTAGATGAGTGCATACTGCATTTATCCCGTATGTTGCTATACTTTTTGTTGCTCTCCACAATAAGGTATGTTGGATCTCCCTATAAATTATAATTTTACCTTTTTATTGAACAATTGTAAAAAAATAGTTTATAAGAGTTTTTGATACCTTTAAGCCTTGAGTAAGGGTTTTGTCACCAGGTGCATGGGTGTTTAGCCATTCTGATGCAATAATATTGTTTCCAATCTCGTCCCTAGCGCTAATACCACCTTCCCAACTCCCTGAACTGTTCCAATTCCCCACATAAAATATTAAAAAATCGACACATTTCACATTTCAAGGAATTGGAATTTTTATTTCGAAATAGTCGAGGAAACAAATGTCCTAGTCTACTCATAAGTCATAGAGAATGATTGATGAGATAAAAGTTTATGGGTTTTCTAACATCTATACACACTGATTTTGGCAGCGGAAACAAAATAAAAAATCTTATGTGTACATGCACCCTAATAGATCTAGGTTTATTCTATTATAGCAACCTACTTTGAAAAAAAAACTGTAAATTATGAACCTCTTGATCTTAATCTTCTTGATTCCTTGATTGAGATCTTGTTGCAGCCATTTTGATTGGATGAGATGACCTAATAGTAGGATTGTAGGAATCCCTCTTTTGCTTCACACCCAAGACACCAAAAGAGCAAACAGGAAAACCCTAGGAGAGAGGAGGTTTTCGAAAATTCTATAACCCTAGAAAGGGGTTATAATTTTCGTCTAAGGCAAGGAGATAGGAGGTTTGGATGATTTTAGGAGGATCAAGGAGCATCAGAGTTTAATCCCTAACATCCTATTTATAGCCTCCTGCTTAATCCTTAAGCCATTCAAAAACCTAAGGATAATTTCTATCTTTATATGGAATTGTACCCTATCATTTCGTGAAGTCGTACCCCTATCATTTTTTGGAGGGTTCTGGAATATTCCAATTAATTAAAAATTAATTAATTAATATTTAACCCATTTAATTAATTTATTAATTCATAATAAATCAATAATCTTATTTTCTCCTATTTCCTTATTGCTCAAATAGGTCATTAGGGCAACCCAAAAGGACCCTGTTATTATTAGAAATATTACCAATAGTTAATGACATTGGACATTCCTTCCAGCAAAAGCAACATGAAAGACAATTCAGGTTTCATTGTCATCGGATGGTTGATCGGATATGAGAAATAAAAGTCTCGTAATTTTTTGGTAAACAATCAATATGGCATAGTTTTGTCATAAAACCAATGATGCATCCGGCTGTATAAAGAATGCTCAAAAGTCATTCGAGTTGCATGATGAAGTTCTTGTAGAAATTTGGGAAGATATGGTGGTTTGAAGTGGTGACCGACAATACTAATGTATACAAATCAGTTGGAGCTTCGTGATGGATCAGATCCATTCTCAGAGATCAATCCTAAACCCGATAGACTGTTCCTTTTTCCGGTATAAGAAATAGGTGACTTAGCTAAATCGATTCTAAGAAATATCTAAGCAAACCCTTTATCCTTATTTCAACAAAGGAAGCACAAGCCTTTTCGATTTTTTGCTGAAATACATGAAATCAAAGGGCATTATTCGAATGCTACTGCAGGTACATGCGAAGAAATGATGAAAAGGGCTATATTTGCCAGAGAATTAAGAGAAAGAGCTTGTATTGGACGACCCCATGTGCCACCCATTGCATCAACTTATGAGCATTCTCTATATAAGCGATGCAATTCCAATACAAACTCTCTCTCTTCTCCATTAACAATGCTCCAGCCGCTTTGTATGCACTAGCATTGAACCACATTATCTTCCTTAATTTCTACAATAACTTTACGAAACTTTTTCTCATATCCTACCAAACATCTGATAACAATGAAACCCCGGTTGTCTTTTATGTTGCTTTTATCCCATCCACTAATGGACTTAGCAAAAGCTTCTCCAATTGATTGTAAGGGTGTTCTACCCAAAATCCTTCAACATACCTCATCTAGATCCCGGTTTGGTCTAGTTAAAAACTCATAGAGTTGCTCTTTCTCCACATATCTTATATTTGACATGTTCTTTAACCTCTCCATGCCAAGTTCATGCCATGAAACTTTCAAACAATTGTAATGAAAGGTCACCTCGGTTGGTCATTAAAAGATGTCCTTTAGTTTCATTTTTATCTCTAATACTTGGGACGTACAACCCAGGTCTAAGCAGGTTTCATTTACTCACATTGAAGTCTTGAATAAGAGATATCGATCTTCATTGAATTGATGAGTTACAACATCACAATCGAGTTATTGAGTTCCCACGTAGCACATTGCTTATCATTAGGGTCGGGTTGAGGTATGTCACCAATGAGATATCCTAGTTTACCTCTTCCTCTAACAACCATGAACACCGATCAAGATTACTTAAAGAAGTTTTTCCCTTCTATAGTATGCAATTTGTAATCACCATATAGGAGTTATCATTGTATGTAAAGTTTTGTGTGGCAGAATGAATAGGCTAGAACAACCAATGAGCAAAATTTGTATGGATCTTATGCTCTTGATACCATAAAATAACAAAGAATGAAACAATGAAACAATTTTCTAGCATGAATTAAAACTAATTCTTTGCCCTGCTATTTCTTTTACAGCCATTGTAATTCATAATCAATGAGCTAGTGTTAGTGCTTAATTGCATCGGAACAATATCTCCACTCCACAAAAATTGATATCTCCCTAACTTTCTATAAGGAAATCGACTGACAAATTGATGAAATGAACAAAAGAATTAGGGTGAGAAGAGAACAAACCTAGGTCGTGCAGTATAAGGTGCTAACATGCCGGCGGCGGGTAGACCAATGGCGCCGAATAGCAACAAGCTCATAAGCTTCCTCCTCTCCATAACAAAAACACCGTCGGCGCCAATGCTTGCTGCAGCCTGACATGTCACCTTCATCCCCTTTTCAGTTACCACCGTTTCAAATCTGGTCGATTTCGCCATTAGTCCTTTGGTCGGTGAGAAGACTCCGTTCTTGCTAGAACAGCACTGTTAAGATTCAAATCGAATTGAATTAGAAAGCTGAATGTAAGAAGAATTAAATGCAAGCACCATTAAACATGAAGTCGGAACTCGGAATCTAGTTTAGGAACCTGTAACTAATAGGAGCTCTGATTCCAATTTCAAACATCGAACTCTATTTTAATTTACCTGAGAAGTGGCCGGAGGAATTGTGAGAGCAGCCATGGTAGGATAATAGAGTTAACTCTGGATTTGGGAGCAAGAAGGTGCAAAATGAAATTTGGGAGCAGTCTATGGAAGATGAGTGGCACTAGGATCCACGTATTCAGGTCGAATTAAAATCACGTTGGTGACTCTGTAATATATAATAATATAATATTAATTTTTAAAATCTATATCTATCAATATAACTAACAACAGTAAATGGTATTTGGTGAATTTTGCATGTATATACCATGTTATAAAGTAAATGTTTGTTTTTATACACGTTATAAAAAGTAGAAATGTTTGGTTAAAATAAAATACCCTTCGGTTTTTATTTTAGGTTTAAAAAAGGCAATCTAGAATTTTAATTATGTTAAAAACAAAAGAAACCAAAGGTTTTTCATAAAATCCCGTAAAAAAACCTTAGAATAATTAAATAAACGATGTATCGTATGTAAAAAGCTCACAAGGACAAATGAAAGGATGTGACAATCGATATTATTTCTATTGATCGGTTGCAACATATCAAACATAGATCATGAAGATTTCATTATTTTCAATATTTTACATTATATTTTTTTAAACAGATATTAATGATAGTTTAGTTATCACACTACAACGAGTTAGAAAGCAAACAGACAACATTTTAAAAGGTATGAAGATAAATAATAATAATAATAATAATAATAATAATAATAATAATATAAAATGTTTAGATGGAATTAAAGAATGCCATCCAAGATTTTAAATTTTTTTAAAATGAAAAAATTATATAAGAGAAATGACTCCAGATTAGGAGATTTGAGAGAGGATGTGAGATGAGATACTTGCATAAAAATAAAAATAAAAATAAAAACCAATGAGATATTTATAATTTATCTCATATTGCTAGTGAGTGAAAGAAAGAGTGAATATCTATCTATTTAATTTATAAGGAAAAGCTTTGGTTAGAGATGAATAGAAGAAGAGCAATCTGGACATCTCTACTATATCAAAAAAATAATTAAAAATACTTAATGGATTGGGTAACATTTTGGGCTAATTCGTTGGTCCAAGACTTTTGAACTTGTGAGCCCTTTACTCCAAGCCTGGTATATGCGTCTCCACTCAACTAACTTCATTTTCACACTCTCGTGAATTGTAATGTGCAATTAGGGTGAATATTTGGATCGGAGTGACATTTAGACAGGACCGGTTTTATAGAAATTGGTGAACTTTAGACCGGACCGGTTTTATAGAAATTGGAGAACTTTAGACCGGATCAGATGAGGCTTACCAGGTTCAGGTACTCCAAGTATGGTTCCCGGTTCTTGGACATAAAAATAAGCATTTGGACTGGAGTGGACCGGACCGGCTCTTGGACCGGACATGTTTTACAGAAATTGGTGGACCTTGGACCATACCTTTTGAGGCTTACCAGAGGTCTGGTTCCCGGTCCAGAGGTCCAAATACTCACCTCTAGCGTGTATAAAAGGAAAGGTAAAAGGGAAGAAGAAAGATATCGTAGGATGTAGATACATGCATATAAGAGTTCTTAAAATCTTATTTTTATGACACCTAAACTAAAAATTATACTTTAGTACCTTAAAATATTTTTATTAAACCAAAAAAATAGTTAATCTATGCGACTAGACCTATGTACGATTCATCGATAAACTATCTTTTTTAATTAATATATGCATATTCAATTAATAAATTCTATAGGTTTTGTAACTTAACACAAGTAAACTGTTTGTGTTATGGTGATTTGGTAAAACAAATGAAAGATATGGTGAATAACTTATTGATTCATATTCAAATCATGACACTGCTCAACCTATGTGATCATGAAAGTTCATCTGTAGTGACTTCATAGTCCAGGACATTAGACATATACGAAAGTTAACCCGGAAACCCTTGTTAGGAAAGTTAACTTTCCAAACAAAAAAAGCTTAACGCAACTAGGATCATGTTTATCAATGTACGTAGCGATAATTGTAAAAAAAAATAATAAAATAAATAACTGGACAATCAATTGCACTAAAAGTCGACTTGCAAGCCAATCTTCAATGTTAACTATTAAATTTGCAATGGTCATATGATTTGTTATTGTTTGTTAATAACCATATATATAATATGTTTGCAATCCTTTACATATAAAAAACCTGACATATCTATTTTTGATTTGATTATGACATTTAAAGTCTATATAACAAGAAATTAAATGTGTTTGACAAAATTAGTTTGTAACTAAAAATTATAACTTCTATTTGTATAGAAGTGTTCGATGATAATAGAAATGTAAAATTATAAAATCTCACAATTAGGAATATTTTGTTTGAAATAAAAACTAAAAGCTAGTATGACAATGAATTTTAGTTAGAGTTTTCTTAAAAGTTAAAAGCTAAAAACTTTCAAATGTTCATTATCGAAAATACACATTGTTGGTGTGTATGTAAAAAAAACGTATTGTCTCCATATACAATTTCATATTGTTTGCCTCCAACTTACGTATTATCAAACTTGGTGTGATGAGATAAAAACAAATTTAGTACTAATTTGAACTTTGAGTTGGGTAATATATTGATCTATTTATTGGTATTGTTAAGTACATTACTTTTTGTAATTATTACACACGGTTTAAAAAATGACAGAAATTTATAAAACATTTCACAAAGATGAGGTTAATTAGTCAATTTTTTAAAACAAAAATTTTTAAATTTGTTAATGATAGAAAAATATTGAAACTAATAGGTTTTTATATGTTAAAGTTAGTAGAAACATGATCTAGGAAAACAATAAAGTTATAAATAAGATTTATGATTGTGGATTTCTATTAAAATGTAAACGTAATGCAACAAATTCCGAAACATAACAAAACAAAAAAAAAATAGTACTTCCAAAATATATATAAAGTACATTTCGATTAACCTAAAATTTTGTATGTTTCTTGAATTTTATTTTGATATTCTACTTTAATCAATGAACTTAATTTCAATTTGTCGAGTCTTGACCTTTAATTAATATTATTTTAACACAATTATTTTCTCGAACCAAATGATCAAAAACTTGTGTTCCTTATCTTTCGAAAAAGAAAAAAAAAATGCTTCCATAAACTATTAAACCAAATAAATATCCTTTGATTCATTTATTTATGTGTTTCCCTCTTAGACATAATAATTATTTGACCCTTCAAAGTCAAAAATAAGACAAACGATAACAAGAAGAATAGTAACACTCAAATTCCATAACAAAATAGGATGATGGAGATAGAGATGAGATGTAGACATCTTTACCTTCATCCAAGCATATTGAGCTGCTCCCAATAAAAAAGACCTGACTTGAAAAAATATATATAAAAACCGAATATCCATCCACAATGAAAATCAACAAAATTACTTATATACCCCTAAAATAAATGTCATGTTATTTAGGGCACACACAATGCAATATTCAAACCTAAAAAAGATGCTATATAGTGGTCTAATGTGGGAATGTAACAAAAGTGTTCAATTGGATTCTTTACTACAAATTTTCTAATCCAAAACATTTCATTATCATGGGCCAAAAACAGAAAAGAATTTTTTGCATTGGGTTGTACCTCTCCTGTTTTACGGGTCTGGGTATGGGTCCGGGTTCCGGGTCGACCCAATTGAGATCAAAGTTCATAGGTATCTCCTCTTTATCTTCTTCTTTTGAAATCTCAGTGGTAATCTCAGATGTATCTTCATGATCATCAGGTGAAGAATCTTCAATCAGTAGTTCCTTTCCTTTTTCTGGTTTGACACCCCATTTGTAAATTTCTTTAAGAATCACTGGACATTTCCCAGGATTCAGTATATAATCTGCATGTATACAAGAAGAGATTTCAGATTACGATCATATCTGTATAATGTTCGTTTTGAATTTTAATTTCTGAAAGATGAAGAAGTTCGATCAAAGTTATAGGTAATGTACCTGGTATAACATGTTCCTTCAGTTCATCGAAGCATTGTTCCAGTTCAGTCTACGAGCAAAAAGAAGTGAGAAGAGGGATGAATTCTGTGAATCTGGTGATAAGAATAGATGAAATATAACCTGTTGAACAAATCCAGATCTTGAAATCCTCCGTGAGAATTCAGAATACAGTTCGGGAAGTAATTTGTAGGCAGTTACTAGAATCGATGAAGCTGCAAGTGTAGAAGGCCTGAATTCTGTGAATCTAACATCTGGAAGAAAATGTATGGATTAGAATATCAAATCGAACAATTTCATAATAGTTACAGAGACGATGATTAAACAGAATACATACTAACATACCTCTTTGGATAGAAACGATTATGTTAGAAACAGTGGAAATTGGTAGAAACTGCTGCGGATCTTCGGTCTTAAGCAGAGGAAGGAAGAAATACATGAAGGTTATGGCAGTCACTGGTCGTACCTTCCATTGTAGACCTTCTAAGATCTGAAGCTCCATAACTAGAACGTATCTAACCTCCGCCATTTTGTGTTTATTCTGTGTATTAGATCGATAAATCAAAAATCAAAAATACATACACGATAGATATAATATGTATATACAGAGATAGAGATCAGTGAGAAACCCAAAGTTCAACGAACGAGAAGTCTGAACAGCGTATTTTGCAAGCGATTGAAACGCAACAGAAGACAAATAACTTCAAATTTTCTTCAAAACCTTTGTCGCGTAGAACCACCTGCATCGATCAGATTGAAATTAAGTTTATCTAAATTTTTGATTCCATAAGATAACTTTGATTGAAGTAAATATATATCACCATTACCGGTATATTGATGTTTGTTGACAGGAAACGATCGACATAAGTGATAGCAAGAAAAGGCACGAACGAATCAACTTGATCAGATGTATACTGTTCGTACAGCAACAAATTAAGAAATCAACTATATCGAACATCAATTAATCAACGTAATATGAATGGCGATTGATTTAATTGTAGTTCATTATTGATTATACCTCTTCGATTTTGGAAATTGCGATTGATCTGATTGCGATGAACCTCTGCTCTTTGGAATAACCACGAGCAACCATGAAATCCACCTCAAGATCGAAGTACTTCTGGACTAGAGCTCGATTACTGGTATTGTGGCGAACCAGTAATGGATTTGTTGGATTGAATTCCATTCTGATTTTGATTTTGATTTTGATTTCTTCTCGGTTTTTTGGGCTAACTATATACGTGATCACAAGAAGATTTGCCGCGAGAGTGAAGAAGTCGCGTGTTCGCTGACTTTTCTCAAACCGTTTCAATCTGTACGGATAAAGCGGTTATTTGAATCATGCAGGCCAAGGCGGGAATATAGCATATGAGTTGACTCGTTTCGTTTTTTTAATTTTGATATTTAACTTAAACAGATGAACTCGTATAAAAGGCTAACCCTAAAAGCTGAAAATAAAAATGGTTTAATATGACATATTTATCATTTTATGAAAAGTTTACAGAAATAGTAAAATGGTTTGAAATAAAGTTATGTAAAACTGATAAATATTATATTATTAAATGCTTAAAACGAGATAAAATAGCTATAATGGTTAATTTGTTATATTAATTTGATAAATTCTATACTGCATACTTATCATAAAAATTTTATGCAAATTTTACAGTTTATAATAAAAGGTTTTTAAATAAAATAGATAAAACCGATAAGTATATAATATTAAATGTTTAAAACGAGATAAAATAGCAATAATGGTTAATTTGTTATATTAAATTGTTAAAATTTAGGGAAATTGAGTAATCTAACCATATTTTAATATGTTTTTAAAAATAATAACCAACGTTATTTATTTATTTATTTTTATTTTTTTTAAAAAGACAAACTAACCACTCTCTTTAGAATGAATGTTAGGCGTGTCAAACCCAACAAATAATATGGGTATAATAGACTCCAAATACACTGTTTCAATGCACTAAAAAATAGTACAAAGCAAGCAGGGTCGAACCACAGAGACACGAAATAAAAATATATACCTCTTTGCGCAAGGTACTTTGATCACAAATGGGCTTTTGTTTGCAAAAGTAAAATAATAAAATAACAATCTACTTTAAAAACATGCAGAAATGAAATAAACTTGTAAACAATTTGATTGAAAGGTTCGAGTTCTAGTTTTCAATGTTGTTGTTCAACTTGATTACGACTTGATGCATGATTGCTATTCTAAGTTGGTACTGAAAGATATTAACACGCTCTAACACCTCTCGTTTGCCAAATTATCTAACCAAAACACGCTCTGTGACTAGACCTAGCTTTACTAATTCAACATAAACACGCTCTTAGATTGTATTGAAAATTTCATTAAGTTTTGTACAAGTTTCCCAACAATGTTCATTTCTTCTCATACGCTCGGAAGTATGAAAACATGTGATATATGTTTTACAATAAGAAAACTTATTGTTTGTTACCAATTATTAAATTAATAGAACGATTAGGTGCCCTAAAAGTTAATTAATTACATAAAAATTCAATTCATGAAAGTAGCCAATCAAACACAAATCAAATTCAAGGATTCTTGTTTAAACAAAAACATAATCACTAGAATAGAATCACAAATCAAACATCAAATTATATGCTTCAAGTCAAGCAATCAACATGTTTTGAACAAGAACTAGAAATTATGGTTTCTTAGCCACACATGACTAAGAACAAATCAAACAAGAATAAAGATGGAACTGAAATGTTTAATGCTTATAAAAGGAAATCAAAAGTGTTTGAAATGATTAGTAGCCTTCAAGAATACCCAAAAATCTCCCCATAATCGCCAGTGAAAGCTCCCAAAACCGTCTGTTTATAAAAATGACGTCTTCCCCTCTTTTAGTAACTGCTCACATGCCTAACTCAAGGCCATGCGTTTTTTAGCATGGCCATGCCTTTTGCCCATGTGTTTTTAGCATGCCATGTGTCTTGACCATGTGTTTTTAGCATGGCCCATGCTTTTTGCTAAAAGTCCAATAAGTCTTAACGGTTGGCTCCTTCTTCAGTCTAGCTTCACCACGAGTCATGTTGCTCAAATATAAGATGAGAAAGGACAAACACGACTCATGTCGGTGTGACATGAACCGTCTTTTAAACGTAGTCCTTTGCTATGATGATATGCAACGACTCGAGTTATGTCTTCATATTTTCTTCCATGGCATGGTCGGTCCATCTTCTCTTCATGCTCCAAAGCTCCAAGCTCCAAGTTTCAAGCTCCATGCTCCATGTTCCAAGCTCTATGCTCCATGCTCCAAGCTCCATGATGCCTACAAAATAAATCATGCATTTTAGCTCTATTTATTAAGTTAATATATACATGCTATATACACACAAATCACATATTTTCAAATAAGTATTTTTCATTTATCCATAAAAAGTACCATCTTCTGTTCATGCTCCAAAGCTCCATGCTCCAAGTTTCAAGCTCCATGCTCTACGTTCCAAGCTCCATGCTCCATGCTCCAAGTTCCATGATGCCTACAAAATAAATCATGCATTTTAGCCCTATTTATTAAGTTATTATATAAATGTTATATACACACAAATCATATATTTTCAAATAAGTATTTTTCATTTATCCATAAAAAGGTTACGATCGTCGATTGACATAATTACATCTTTTATAACTAATGCCCAACGAGAAATGTGGGCGTTACGAGCCCTTAGGATGATTCCATTATGGAATCATGCATCGGAAAACAGATGTGGATAGCGACTCCTCATGTCACTTTCTGTCTCCCATGTGAGGTTCGACATTTAAGTATCTTTCTATCGCATGGGTACTAACTCAACCATCTTACATCGTAACTTCTTTGTCTTGTGCCAACAATTGCTTCAGGCTCTTTAATCAACCTCTTGTTTTCGTCATAAATTGTTTTCATGAGATTTAGGTCATATTCTCCCCTAAAGACCTAGTTTGAGTGGAGGACAGGCATGGGTCATGCATGTCCATAAAGGTTGGATTTTTATGAACCTTTAAGGTCCCAAATATGGCTGGATGTTATAAATCCAAAATGTTAATGATGATTTAATTTCATACATGTGATTGTGAACCCGTTTCTCCCATTTGACCTTGCATGTCCACAAAGCAAGGACATTTATGGTGCTTAGGAGTGTAAAGAAGCCTTCTAGGAAGCATGAGTTAGGAACTTAGTAGATTAAGGATTTAATCCATTAAGTTAGTTCTATGAAGTTACCACGACGTGGTGGTGTAACACCCAGAATCAGGAAGATCAGGAAAGGGAAGAAAATCTCTAAGTCAAAGGAGTCAACTCGTCGAGTCCAAGGAGGAACTCGACGAGTCGGAGCGTGACCCGTGTCGCGGATTAAGTGACCGACTCAGCGAGTCGGGGAGACTGACTCGACGAGTCTGGTTTGGGTTGAGAAACCCTAATTTGGGGACTTGGCACCCTATTTAAGCATCTCATTCTCATTTCTAGGGTTTCATTTATAGCCTCCATTGTCCAGAGACGAAACCCTAGCCTCCCAACTTCATTCTTGAGCTTGTGTGAGAAGATTAAGGCTCTTGGTGTGCATCTTGAAGATTCTAGAAGAAAGGGAGCAAGGAAAGGAGTATAGATCCAGAGTTTGGGTGACATTCCAGATCATTTGAAGGTATAAAGCTTATACCTTGGCTGTTAATCATCTAGATCCCTTTTCTAGCTTATCTTTTGTAACATTTGGACCATTCCCAAGTGGAATCCGGGTGATAAGCCTTGGAGGATGGATTGGACATTAGATCTGGACACTTTTGAGCTCTAGAAGCTCAAAGTTGTTGGCTTTATCTAGCTAAGGCTCCATGTCTTGACCTTGAACTTCTTATTACCTTGGATTTGGTGTTCTAGCCTCATAGCACCTTGCATGCACGTAAAGTTAGCAACTTTACGTGCAATGCTAGCATAAGGAGTCCAGATCTATGAGTTAGGAGTGTTGGAATAGACTGAAATCGACAGAATAGAGTTGTCTCAAGATGGACTCGGCGAGTCAGTTCTTGGACTCGGCGAGTCGGGTCGCAAATCCAAACCCTTCTGTTTATGATACAGATCAGTGAGTGGAGTTAGTAAAGGATTCAGCCAGTCTGTGTCCGTGATGGACATGAATATCATGGTACTCGACGAGTTCAAGGAGGAACTCGGCGAGTCCAAGGCAATCTTCTTAGCTGATGAAGATTGACTCGGCGAGTTGTAGAACAACTCGGCGAGTCGGTTGAAGATAGTCCCGAAGCGTTAGATAAAGGAGAACTCGTCGAGTTCTCGCTAGACTCGACGAGTGGAGTCAACTCGGCGAGTCGGTAGAATAACTCGGCGAGTTGGTAGAATAAATCGGCGAGTCGAGTCAACTGGAAGGTTGACTTTGACCAGGACCTTGACCAGAGTTGACTTAGTTGACCTCTGGAGGACAGTTTAGGCTAAGTTCTATTATTTGGTGTTGGTAGCTCGGTGAGCTAGGAGAGCAGCGCTTCAGAGAATAGTCGATTAGCAGCCAGATGATTATCAGCAGAGTTCAGCAGTATAGGTGAGTTTCCTTCCAGTAGGAACGGGTCTACGGCCACAATGCCGGCCCGTTTAGTTAGCAGTAGTTCCGGACTTCGGTCCGATGCAGTAGTTCAGTGTGCTTGATGTCTTTGTGACTCAAGCATGTTTATGTGTTAGTTAGTCCGGACCTCGGTCCGATGCAGTATGCAGTATATGTGTTTATGCTAGTAGCTATGATTATGTTATGTTATGTTCAATTAGTCCGGACTTCGGTCCGATGCAGGGGGCAAGGCCCCAGTTAGTCCGGACTTCGGTCCGATGCAGGGGGCAAGGCCCCAGTTAGTCCGGATTTCGGTCCGATGCAGGGGGCAAGGCCCCAGTTAGTCCGGACTTCGGTCCGATGCAGGGGGCAAGGCCCCAGTTAGTCCGGATTTCGGTCCGATGCAGGGGGCAAGGCCCCAGTTAGTCCGGATTTCGGTCCGATGCAGGGGGCAAGGCCCCAGTTAGTCCGGACTTCGGTCCGATGCAGTAGGCAAGGCCCAACATGTGCTTTATATGTTATTGTATGGTATGTGGTAGTTTGGGGGAGCTCACTAAGCTTCGTGCTTACAGTTTTCAGTTTTGGTTTCAGGTATTTCCGGTAGCGGAGAGTAGAGCTCAGGATGATCGCATGGCA